AAGCAGTGTTACTTAATAGAAGCAGTGAGTATTAAGACTTGACTGAATGAGTACTCATCCTGCCCACTTCCTTGAAAGATACTAATACAGAGGTTTCGCTTAAACAAACACACAAGATTGTGCATTTTGCGATCACTATTTCATCCAATTAAAACTTCAAAGTATTGGTTTGGTTAGCATTTGTTTGTTTGCTTGTTTTTTCAAGATTTGTTTTCTTGTCTGGGGAACAGGTGTGCATATTAACAATGCACAAATTGCCACAAACATTTATGAACACCGCTTAAATATTACGCTATTATTTTCTGTTTTGTTTAAACCTGATTTTTTTCTTCATTGAGATTCAAAAATATCTTTTCTTCCACTGTCCTTTTTTTCCCAGCAGTTTTGGAGTATAGCTAGGAATACATATGCCTCTGAAATAATGCAAGCATAAAAGGCATTTAAGATGTTTATTATTAAAATGTCAAATGCTGTTGGAGGGTCCTCTCCTTGTAACTACATTGGACTAAAATTTAGATAGATTGCACCAAAATCAGCAACATATGTCTAAAGAAGGGGGGAAAAAAGGACACAAAAAAAACCACCACCAAAGCAAAAGTTGACAAATAAAAAGTATTACCCTGATCCAGTCATATTCTAAGCTCACAAAGACACAGTTATGGCATATGACTAACAAGGTTTCCTTCTCAAATTATTCTTGTTGTAGTCATCCAATCAAATACAATACCATACACACTGCTCTGTCAAGAATTTTTGACTTTGGTACATTGTCTCTGTCACACATTAAAGTTAGCAATATAGCTTTAATTTCTGCATTAAAGTGCTGTGACTACCCTGCCAAGTGAATTTTTGAAAAGATATCAAGATGAAAAATTATAGAGGTAAATTGGGATTTTCTGTCTCAAAAAATACCACGCATTTTGGATCTAATGGTATAAACACAACTTAGGCCAAAACTTTATTAAACACAATTTTAATCCATAACCTGCTCATGGATAACAAAGTAAGGATAATAGCCAAGATGATTGTATTTGAAAAAAGAAAACATTCTTTTATAAGGTGGATATCACTAAACTGCTTGGACAGATCTTTGAAGAAATAATTGATATCTTCTTATAATTAATCCCCTAGGCAACCTCAATATTTCAGCTAGTGGAAATAGTGTCTGCTAAGCTACTGGCCTGATAAGAAGGTTATCATATAATATCCTCTAAGATTAGTTGACAAAAGTTATTTGTTGTTAAATTATAAGAATAGCTGATTTAGCACAAAAAAAAAATCCTAAATTGATGGTTTAAAAAATTTTTTCGGTACCATAGTATCTTCAGTTCAGATAGGATAGAGTGCAGTAGAACTCAGTATTGAAACTGCCCAGCTAGGTATGTGAAGGTTCAAGAGTTAAGACAAGAAGGGGGAAGAAGAGATAAAACCTAATTGCCATTATTAAGCCTTTTCACTAAGATTTACAATATTGTGCCAAACAAGATCATGATAAGATCCAAGCTGGTGCAGACAGTCAATCCAGTCGTTTGGTTGTGTAGCATACTCCCCTGCAATGCTGCTTCCAGAAAACAGCACAGATAGCAATAGCTGGAAAACCCTTCCCCTCACAGTCAGCGTGCCCTTCATCTGCTGCTGACAGCCTAAACTGGAGGAGGTTCAAACACACCTCCCACCCACCAAGTCCAGAGAGAGTAAGTCTTTTACCATTCATAAAGTATGACCTCTGGTAGACTCTTCCTGAAAACCTATCATTATACTAAACTGCTGGGCAGTAAGAGAGTATGAGCCAGCATCTAATTTATCAGCACACTCAATGGGATTTTTCTCCAAGAGATGCAGTAATTTTAAAGTAAATTCAGAACAAGACTGAAGTTCCATCTCTAGTTGGATGTTATCTTGTGAAAGCTCCATTTTTCAGCAAAAAGAAATATTTTTTATAAAAGTATGCAACTTCAGTTATCAGTTAAAAGGACTTAAGTGTAATTAAAGACTCCATAATTTCAGTATTCAAAAGCCTGATCATAAGATCACTTAGTCATCCTGAGGTCATGGAATCAAAGACCTAAAATACCCTGTTACACTTATTTCATCAAAATGAACATATTACTTTAAAAATATATATATGGATTCATAAAGATACCACAACAGCACTAAAGAGAAGAGATGCTCAGGTGGGAGCAGAAACAATACCAAATAGGCTACAGGTGGCACCTGCTTAGAAGCAGTTTGAAATATAATTCTCAACTACACAAGAATATGGAGATACTTCACACTAGAACATTAACAACTGAAAGATAGATCTCTTTCTGTTTTCCTTTTCTTCCATGTAATCAAGTTGCCCTAGCTTTCCTGTACAGTTTGTTGGATCAGTTTTCACTACCGACTACAACTTTCATGAGCAATGAAGAGAACACTTAACTAAAAAATACCCAAATGGAAGGATGGATGAAACAGGCGAAAAGCACATTACCAACCATGGTCTTGTAGAAAGCTGGTTATATTTGCAATCATTAAAATAAGGGGAAGAAAAACTGAAATTTGAAAAGCCATTATGAGTTACCCAGCAGCAGTGTCCCTCTAAAAGCACAGGTGATATGAACCACACTCATGTACGAATAACCACAACAGAATGCACATACTTTTTTAAATTCTGACACAGAAATGCAAAAATATGAAAAGCTGAATAGCCAATCAAAGAAAAGCTAAATAGCCAATTCAAACACTTTGCCAGTTACACTGATTTAATTTCTATGTCATATAATGACATATTAGAATACACTAGCGGAAAGAAATCTAGAGATTCAATTACACACAGATGAATAATAAAGAATATTAAGAAGAGAAGATAAGCAAATAAAGTTTTGGTTAAAATCAGTTTTTAAAATCTGTTGATGACCCAAAATTTTAAGTGAAAAAAAAAGTTTCCTTCTTATAAGCTTGAAGTTTAAGCACAGTAATTCTTAATAATACATTTATTTAGTTGAGTTTAAGCTTCTACTGAAAATAACATTTCTCATGAAATGCTACAAGAAAATTCAGATATAATCATAATAATCACATATTAGATTTAACCAGTAGTTACAGTGGTAGCTTATATACCACATTTCCCAATGGTAATAAAGTTAGCAGTGATTCAGACTACAACCAGAGATAAAGTTAGAAGCCTAAAGAGACTAAGCCAATTTTTGTAAGCAAAAACAGTTTAACAAAGAGATATTCAAATTAAAATTTTAACAACAAATAAAACATGAAGTACTGTACACTTATGCATTACTTTCAAAGTGTTTTCAAGAAAGGATGTAAAAAACCCCAAGATTTAGTCAGTAATATCAATATTCTCTTATAATCTTCCTTTCCCCTTTCTGTCTCATTTTTCCCCTCTTCATTCTTTATCCCACATTTCTGACTGCAGTCTTTGGAATATATATCATACCTTATATGACTGTATGGTATCTTCACAGATAAAGACAACATAAAGTTAGCAATTTTCTCTACTAGTATTGTTTTCTTAATAAGTTAAGACCAGTTTAGAGAATAGCAGCAGTAGTCTGCCAGAATAATATTATTGGTAATGTCATATATATTTATTTAATTTACAAGTCAAAGGGGGGAAAAAAGGCAAATGTCTGAAATTAATTAAGATCAAGAAGGGAAAAACTTAACATATTATGCAGAGACAAAAGTGGAACACTGTATGCAAACAAAAGGTGTATTAGGGGATGAAACGGGCACAGGGAAAATTTCAACAGCTAACCCAGGTAAGGAAAACAAAGGCAATAAAGCTATCCTCAAATGGCAAAGAAAATCTACATTATAACTTGCCTCCAACCAAGTGCTTATATACCATATATACAATCCTCTTCCAGTGAAGAAACCTGAGGAGATAATTTTGAAAAGCTAAAGCATTTTAGCTAAATAAATAGGCACCTGAGTTCTTGGTCATTTTGGACTAGTTTAAAATAATCTATTGCCATCTATATAGCACTCCAATAAGGAAAGTCCTATTTAAAAAAGCATTCTCTAGAGAAAAGCATACACTAGACACATTATGTATATTAATACTGGAAGACTGAAGACAGCTTCCCCCAAAAAGGTCACAAGAGCTAAACTTTACTCACTTTTTCAAATACTTTAACTATATTTTTAACAGTAGCTGTCAGTCAGCTGAATAGTTGGACATCTGCATCAATTAGGCAAGTAAGTATTATTAGCTTGCTACTAGAACTAGAGAAATAGATACTAACATCAGCAAAAATAACACTCACTGCTTTTTAAATTAATCTTAAATCTTCTGTTCTGCAAGTGAAAACCTTGCATTATTTGATTTATACAGACAGTAGTTCTCATACCCAGACACCTTATTCACTTTATTTGAATTAGCCACTTTAAATGAATGTGTACATTATTTCAGACGGGATACACTGAGTGTTCATGGAATCCTCTATAGCTGAAATACTCTACAACTGCATATAAATAAAATTAACTCATCTTAATAGAATAGAAAGTTGGCATTAAGGGAGAACAGTATCCTAGTTTATCTTCTACTTGATTTTTAAAGACAATTCACTATTTATAAACTGTGATTTTTTAGGCTTTATAAAAACTTAACATTTTGCTCACAGAGTTAATTGAGGCACCTGTAATTCTGCCTAATTAGAATCTTCTATTGCTTCTTTCAAGCACAATCTCTATTTTGCATTACAATGCTGTAAAAGTACACAAACACAACACTTGCTTCAGCTGTAGTATGTTAGAAATGCCTATAGTTTTAACATGCTGCATCCTCTTTCAATTAGACATAATGATATTAACATAATCTCCCAAAATAACTTTTTAACATTTTCTTTATTTTTTAAAAACTCTTAGGTCTATATTGAGCAAAAAATTGGAAAAAAAAGAAAATAAAGGAAACGGCATAAAAAACTACTTACTAGGTAGTGAAAACACATATACTGCTAAAAGAATCTCAGACACTGAGTAATATATAAATTATTTACCTGGGTTGCAATGTCAGCTTTATAATTGTCTTGCGTGGCAAAGAATCTTGAGAAGCCTGAACATCATCCTACAAGAGAACATCTTTGAATTTGCTTTTGAATACATTTCAATGAGTAATATATGAGATTTGTTGATTATATGCATTTTGTGCAGTACAAAACCATGTTAACAACACCAGAAACCAAATCTAATTTTAGCCCATTACTGAGGGCGACAAACCACAAAATTTAATAAACTAACTACTTCACACTGACAAAAGAAAGATGCGTACTTTGACCAATTCACTGGGAAATATTTGTTTTGATTAAAGATCTTACTAGATTCCATTATCAAATTATTACACCCGTGTTTTCATTTTTGCATACAAGCCTTCATAATCACCAACTTCCTTCAAATTTTGCAAATACTTATCACATATTTTTATGCAATTTCTCCTACTGTAAATTTACTCTGAAACAATATGCTCCTGTGCACTTATCACAAGCATTCCTTGTGTAGTCTCCTGTGAGCTGTCATTGTTACTTTATATTGTACAAAAAGAAAAGTTTCAAGAAACATAATTTGGGGTGTGGTGTGGTACAGCGTTCACTTCCACTGAGGAAAGGTAGAGACAAGACATTGCTGTCACTGTTGCACAGCCTAAGAGAACAGCCAATTTGCTGATTCACAGTGCATTCCAGTCAGTCCTTAAAATGGTGACCACTACAGACTTTGAAGCGCAGAGTTCTCAGTTCCTCAAAAAATTCTTAAAATAATGTCTTTCAAATCCAGCAATTGTCACTTACATTTAAATTTTCCTTCTGCACTGAAAGAACTAAGATTAATGTACAGGAATTGTGTAATGGTTGCAGTTTTATTTTTACATTTTGAAACTCATCCATGATCCAACCAAAAGCTGGGTCATTCTGGGATCTTTAAGGGTCTTCTCTTTCTCAGTGTATTGCCTTCGAAGTGATTTCATGCTTGTTTACTAGTGTAGAGTTTGTAAAACTTAACAAATATGTACAAAGTATTAATGTGAAAACCGTGATGCTTTTGTGTGCAACTAATAATTAGGAAGAGTGGAAACGTGCAAGTGGTGTCATTCCACAGGTCTTCAATAGTGTCTTATTCCCAACTTCCTTTTTTCTGCCTCCAAGAAAAGGAACTTTTCCCTGATTGTCCCTGCTTCCTGCGGGAATGCTGCTGCTATGGTCTTGTGCTCTGTTCCTCTAAGTGCTTTTGACTTCTTCATCCCTCAAAAACAACAGCCACTTTCAGTCTCAGAGTCTTCACCATTTGTCGCTCTCAACTCTCTCGATATTCATTCTGAATGCCTATTGCTGAGCAATTTCTGATGTTAGCTTCCATCAGTCACCAAAATACCACTCCAAAATTAACGTCTTTGAACTTCCAACTAACTCAAGGTTTGCAGAGGTGTTCTGTAAGCATCCTGAAGTTCTCCTGTTAGCAGTCTACAAATCCCACGTTAAAAAGCTTTTGTTGCTATACCCAATGCATAGCAGAGACACTAGATTAATGATATGCTGCAGCTATTGTATGGCAAACAGATAAATCTTAATCTGTTTTTGTAATCACCTTATTTTTTTGTTTTATATAGATACAATAAATTCATTGCAATAACAACTTCCTTTTTAATTTCTGCTTTCACAGTGGTAATAATAGCTTATTGAATTAGTATGCTCCTTGGCAATACACAGTTTAAACAGCTATTAGTACTTCTACAATGCAGAGGTATTAATCCAGACTGATGAAGAACAGGAACAGCAAAAGTTTAATAAAATGTAACATTGCGACATCTTCCAATATAATTCAGAGCAGGAGTAAAACCTTCATCCCATGAATGCTTCAAAATATTCCTACTTTATGAAAGTGCAAATTCATTTTCCAAAGAGGAGAAAAACTATATATTTGTGACACACAAGCACTTAGCACACACATGCAGCATACAATTATACATATATATTTGTATAAAAGTAATAAAAATTATAAAGAACTATTTTAACAAAAAAATTTTATGCATACATGTGACTGAAAAAATAGTTCAAGATATGACACACCTGGCACAACTAAAGCAGTAGAATGTATTATTATGTCAGAAATGTGAGATAATCATATAATAAAGACTGTCTTAACCCTACTGTGTTTATGCACAAAGAACTTAAAGCATCTCATTTTGTCTATCTTCAGGGTAAATGCACTAAGTAGACTTCCTAAAAATTCATAGCTGTCACAGAAGAGCACTTTTGTTCAGAAAGCAAAGAAACAAAGAATTCTGAAAGGAAACAATATTAGCAAGTGTGTTTCTTCAAGGTGTTCTTCACTGTAAAATAGGTCTCAAAATGATACATGAGAATCCATTGCTGACTTCATTGTCCATTTCACTGAACATTCCTCTTTCAAATAATTTCAGCAAAGTAAAAAGAACACAAGGTATTGTCTTGACCTAATCTTGCAAACGAAGGTTAGACTTCAGTTAGGGATGGGAATTTTCTTCTTCCCACATTTCTCAAGTTCCTCTGTGAAGCAAAGTAAAATTGCAGGACTGCATACTGTTATATGTTCACTTATGTATATCACTTAAGTCACCAACATATTTATGTCTACAAGAAAATTAGAACACCTGCTTTTACTATCTAACTCCCAAAGGGGAACAAAATAAGTCCCTTTCCTTTAGCCATGTGTTGATGCTTCTTTTCAGCATCAACTGCTGACATGTTCACTTTTTAGTTTCTAGTATCTTCAGTTAATGTGAAGAGTGATAAGTAGCACATTTCTGAGAAGGCATTAGTTGTAAATATAGTTCTGATTTTTCCCAGGGCTACTCAAACTGAATTCAAAAGACAGTTCACATTTCATTTTTGGAAAAAATCAAGGAAGAGAGCTCACCATCTTCAGGAGTGGAGTTGCTGTGTCATAGTTATAAGCACTTTTGTCTTTTAGGATAAGAATATGAACAGAGTCAATTATTACTTTCTTCAAATTCATTATTGAATGGAAAAGCCTGTTAAAACATTTAAAATCTTAGTTATTTTTCAATTGGCTTTATTCAATATTGTAACATCAAAATTTAAAAACATTAAGGAACTCAAAAATATGACTTGCAGAAAAATAAATATTTTAGCATCAATATAGCATGAAATTAAAACAGTTAGTTGCAATGGGTGACCAGCCTGAAAAATGTAGAAAGATTCTGAATTATATTCTTGTCTTGCATACTGAAAGTGAGGTACATCTCCTCCTGTATGCTGTGCTACCAAAGTAGCATACCAAGTACTTTTTTCAAAATGGTAATCTTAGGAAAGTTTGCAATTTGTATATTTAATTTTCAGTTTCTATAGTGGAAACAAACCTGAAACACTGGCCAGAAAGTCAAGACCGTATTTACACAGGATTAAGAGAACAATCAGCAACACAAAAAATATAACCTACAAACTATATAAACTACCAGAATATCCAGAAATTTCTAAAGACAGAGAGATGGATAATTTTATTTGTAAAGTGAAAAAAGCCTTTATTTCACTCTCTCATAACTAAGTGCATTGTGAATACTTATGATTTAGTAGATTAAAAATATGGAATTTAAATAGTTTTAAACAAGAAAGAGTATTTTAGATGCATTTAAAACAATACTTATTTAATGAACATGCTATACCATCAGTCTACCATCATCACCTCGATTAATCAAATGTACTAGTTCTTAACACTCCAATATAAAGCAATTTTCTGAATAGACCCATAATTAAAGCATATGTATACACAGACATGCATATATCATGCAATGTTCTTCAAAAAAATCGATGAAGATGCTAGCAGAATGATTTCTCAATACTGAGAAATATCCCCCAGATGAAACAACAAACAATGACAGACAAATTAAGTAGAAGATTTTCAACACAAAAAAGATTTTCCACTTTTAAAATAGGTAGGCCATAGAGGGTGTGGATAAGGTGGGATTTTCCAAGGAATATATGCTTAAATTAGCACATCTTTGATTATTGCTTATGACAGACAAATACAAAAAGTTCTCCTACTTACTGCAGAAAAATACTGTTATTAATGAAATCTCAGTAATATGTCTACCTTTTGAAATATCAAAATTTTGTACAGACACCAAATTCGTACTCAGAGGGTTCAAAAATATTGTGTACATGAAGAGCATGGGTAATCAAATCTACTTCTCATGTAGAGCACCTCTACACTTTCAGTGAAGTATGCTGCTATATCAAATCTGTATGTCTGAAAAAAACACTTCAGTTTTAAAAATTCAAAAGGATATTAAAATTTAAATTTATGTATTTATAATAATTTACCTGGTGCCATAATCCACAACTACCCAATCTTTGGCTGTTCCTGTAATAGCATCATGATGCTGGAAGAGTCCAAGGTTCCTCCTAGCTTCTGTCAGCAATTTATAATTATCCACAGAAGGAAATACACTCATCTTCTCAGATTTACTGGACTGTACTAAAGCCAATGAGTAGAGAATTTCAGCTGCCCTGGAATTGCAGAGAATAATGAAGTATTTATACAGGGTTAAAATGTAAAAAGCAAAACACGCTTGATCTAAAGAATAAATGGTAAATAGTTCCATAAGCTCTATAAACCTTGTTCTTACACATTTTAGCCTATCTTCATACAGTTGCTTCCTTCAAGACTCCTGTGATGGAAAATGAACCTTTAAAATAAAAATATGACAGCATAAACTAAAATACACAGTTATAAATGTGTGAGAGGTATATGGAATTGGTCTTAAAACCTCACAGCATGGATAGAGTGCCTCACAAGAAGCATATAATTCCCATTTCAAAAAACAACTTATTAATCAAATAAATTTGTTTTAAATAAATATACTAATCTCTATATTGTTGAATATCTATTCTGACATTTGCACTTAAAGCAAACTAATTTTTTCTAAAGGCTTAATCATCTCATGCACCTCCTCACTACACTCATCTGAATGGAGAGAACACTGGATTCCAAAACCCTTACAAAGAACAGAATGCAGAGCCCCTCTCTTCTACATCTATTGCAAAAGCCTAGCTCTAAAATATTACCACTAGATTCTCACTTGCTTTATGAGAATCTAAATGTATTTTGCAAAAAATATCCCCATAATTGCCAGTTATTATGGATATTTAACTGGCAAAAATGCCTGCATAAATGCTGGGAAAACATCAATTAACTTTTTTTCCCATCTTCTCCTAAAATGTTATAGTTCTCTTTTTGCAAGTCTGAAAAACATCAGATTATTTTTCAAAATTTATTAGAGGTTAATGAACATTTCTCAAGTACTTGAAGCAACAAAGATGATACAGGTTAATGACACAAAAAGCAAAGAAACCACAACAACATGTAATGTTAACTTCTAGGCCTGCAAGTAATAAATTAAAAAGAAAAGGAAAAGGAGTTAAGTCTTTTATTTACCCAAGTTGTCAGCAAGGGCATGTGTTCAATTTTAAACTATATAAAACAAAAAAAAATTAACAAAAAACCCTTTTGTTTTCAGACTATGCATGATATTAATTTTTAACATGAAAAACTCCTTTAGACTCAATTTTCTCTTCATCTCTATCCAACACATAGGTAACAGTTATATAAAAACTGCAAATACCATATACCCAAGTAAACTGAAAGGTGTGCTATACATATAACAGCCTAAACTATTTTATATTGTCAATATTTCATGAACAGGTGGAGATTTTGCTCTTACTGGTTTGGTATTTGCTCGGAAGCTACATACAAAATCAAGGTGTTAAAAAGTTATAAGTCCTGTATTTAATTACCAGTGCTAGATTAACCTTAGTCACTGCAATTTAAATGTCGCTTAATGCAAATTCCAACTTCTATGAACCCCTCCTACTTTTTCCTATTGCAGCTTAATTTGAAAGAAAAATGAAAATATTTTAGTTGAAAAAAAAGTAATCAGATGCTCATTCATCTAGTGAATAAACCCTGTTCAAAAGCATTTCACCTTTCTTCAAAAAATCGAGTTAGCCACTAAACACTGACCTAACTTATCTGTAAAGAAGAGAATGCAACAAATTTTAGTCATTAATATAAGGTGAGATTTTCTTCCCCACAATTAATTTTAACTTACTTTTTATTAATAGGGACATCTCTCAGATGCAGAATTTTCCTTTCATATCTCAATATTTTTCTAAACACTAAAAAGGTTCAATGGTCAATGATGAAAGACACTCAGAAATACAACGCTGTATTAGAGAACACTTCATCTTATAGGTAAGCACCTAATACCTTTCCATAAAAGCTGTATAAAGCCTTGGTTTTCTCACATCTGTTTCAAACTACAGCAGATGACCTAATACCGTTTTCAGAAATTTTCTACTTCATTGTAATTTGTAGCAACTGTCCCTGATGGGACACTGCAAATAGACCAGAATTTGCTTCACTTATTTGTCAAGGCCTACAACTAGCTTACCTTCCCTAGGTCTGGTTTATATTTAACCTAAATAAATAATATTTCCAAGAGATTTTGAACTCTCAAGATGTAGTACTTTCTATCCATCTGTATAGTTAGAAGTATCACTGTAGTATTCACCTTCTAAATCACTTCAATTTTCTTTTTGCAGATTTACTGTAATTTTTCCCTGTTTACATCAGTAACTAATAAAACCAAAAACTGTGTCCCTAACTTGTCTCAAACTATGCTCCTGTTCTTTGTATCTTTTCATTACATGAAATAAACTTCTGTTCACATATTTTATCACCCTTTAAACTACTTCAATCCATCCATCTTTCACTTAAGATTAAAAAGTCAATAATGACTAAAATAATTGTCAATCTCCATTATAAAGTCCTTAAGCTTTCTTACACTTCTTTACTACACCCTGCCCACCCAAAAAAAACCCTCAAACAAACAGGAAAAACCTTAACCAACTCTTCTCTTGATTAAATGGCTATTTTTCATATTGGGTCCTGGGACTGACCATGATCTTCTGGCTATTATGTAACAGTGAAATGCTGCTTAATTCTCATACTCCTGGAAGTCACAAACCTTCATCCTTGGTAAAGAGCACACTCACACACATATTTACCTTCCGTTCATGGCTCCTTCTCTCACAAATATGGACATACACCAGATAGATGGACATTAGCTCAAACATACTATGGAAATTATTATCATGAGTTTGAGGATTAAATATGACCCTACTGTATTTTCCTTGACTTTAAAGAAATAAAAAATAAAAGATAAAACCCCTACTCCTGCTGTTCTCATAGCTAATGTGACCTTCATGAAGATTCTCATGGTTTCTGAAAACAAAACTGACAAAAAATATGATATTAAAATGATGAGAACACATCTATACTTTTTTTTTAAATTACATGTTATTTGCAAAGGATAATGAAAAACTAAAAACTTCCCAGGTACTTTTTTAAACTATACTTTAATACATAAGAAGATTGACAGATTAGTGTGTCACCAGAGATTCTTGACCTAAACCTTTTTCAGAAGCTGAAGGCAACTGAACATTTAAATTAAGGAATCTCTTTAATGATGTAAAGTTTTAAGTACTACAAACAAATTAATATGAATTTTTCTGTAATCTATGCAATAAAAACCAAAAAAATGACAATTAAGTAACTACACCTAAAAATCTAGAAAAAATAAGACTATGATGAAGCTGAAGGAAATTACATCCTTAGTGCATTTTAAGAAACAGAAAGGAAATTAACCAAACTGAAAAAAACAATTAACTAGATAATTCAATTTATAAGAATATTATTTTCCTTCTTTTCCTGTTCTCTTGTACATCTTGTCTTCTCCAACAGCAGTAATAAACAACGTTATTTTCACTGAAAATTAAAGATTCTTGCTATGAATCATCCCCCTTACCACAGTATAAACTGGATTCCTTGGAAAAACAAGTTCTGCTAGATACAGTTTCTCTTCTGAAAGGTACTTTTATCTACCTCCAAACCACTAGTTTCCAAGCTTGCTTTGAAATGCCACTTTCCACACCTCCCTTGCCCGATCCACTATTGCAGCATCCATTAGAGCAAAGAAATTGTAATCCTTCAAGAAGGCTATGTAAAATGTTCAGAATTTACCTCATATCCATCTGCCCTAGATTTCCTTCTGGAGCTTTATAACACAGGTAAATCATCTTATGTCTGCTACAAGGGAGAACCACTTAAATAATCCATCACCAAAATTCAGCAACAATTTCTACTTTAAAGATGATGCAGACAGTTTTCAGAAGACCAGTAGTCTTAGATCACTTGGTACCCAATACTCCTGGTTATTTCTCAGCTTCCTCTGAGAACGTTTTTACTTTTCTCTAAAAAAGTTCACAACATAGCCACAATTCCTTACTTTGTTTTTTTGAACGTGTGGCTTTTGCTTTCCCTGCCTTTATCTCAATTCATGAGTTTTGTAGCCTTGACCCTTCCAATTCCCCTCAAGATCCTGCTGGTGGGAGGTGAGCAAGGTGCTTCCTGAGGTTAAACCATGACAAATACTTACACATTAATCTCTCCTGTGTTCCAAGAAACACATTATGAATGTCCTGGATGGCAGGATTTACCTTATGTAGGATTCCAAGACTCTGTCCAGGCGCTTATAAAAGGGTCGTGATGTAAAGTACCCACTCCAGTAATGATGATCTCTGTCTGCATAGGTGAAGAAGTCTCCACTTAAAACAGGAAAAAGTGAATTGCTGCTCTTTTCACCCAAATTGCTTTCTTTGAGCAGAGCTTCAAAGTAATCAGATAAAGTTCCAAATTGGGCCTGAATGAAAATTAAAATTACTGTAACAAAGTTCCATTTTCATTATGCAGAAAATACAAAAAACAATGAATATGCTTGGTTCCATATGCATTACAGAAATACACAACTCTTCTGGCAGATTTATAGCAGAAAACCTATGCTAAAAATTTTTAAAGGTCCCCTGCACACTTTTCAGACAAGCTGGATAGCAATTCATAACTCAATACAAGAAGTATTTTCAAAAAAGGCATATCAATTAAATACAAGAAAGAGATGGATCTTTTGGAGCATGTCCAGAGAAGAGTCACAAAAGTGGTTCAGAGAAACACTTTCCCTATGAGGAAAGGCTGAGAGAGGTGTGGTTGCTCAGTTTGGAAAGGAGAAGGCTCTGGGGAGCCTTCAGCCTTTCAGTACAGAAAGGGACCTTGCAACAAATATGGGGACAGGCTTTTAGCTGGACCTCTTGTACTAAAACAAGACGTAATGGTTTTAAACTAATAGAGCATAGATTCAGACTAGATATAAAGACAACTTTTAATATGAGGGTGGCAATACACCCAAGGTACCCGCAGTGGTTGTGGACGCCCCATCTCTGGGAACATTCAAGGCTGGATTGGATGGGACTTTGGGGCAATCTTTGAAGATGTCTCTGCTTTATACAGGGCAGTTGGATGAGACATGAGCTATGTAACACTTCAGTATTACCCAAGTAGCTGTCTGGAGTAAAGAAGATATGTTTGTAATGCAACAAAAATATAGTTCTCCTAATTCTGTGTTTTCAAAATTAGCTCTCTTGTACTCCAGCTCTTGCTTAACCCAAAGGATGACTGCTGATCAAAAAAAAATGAAATCAGCATTTCACTTTCAGAAGCTGTTTCCTTAAACCCTGTACAAAGAAATTGCATTAAGAGATGTAACGTGTGGGAGAAAAAAAATAAATTAATTGTCTTCTGGTCATTTTTAAAAATGGTCAGGCATGATAACAACAGATCTTTACAGGGTAGGTCAAAAACTGGTATCCTTAAGATTCACGGGAACATAAAAAGAGTAAATAAATGATTGGCATCAATGCTGTTAGTATTGAGAAATGCTGTTAAAGAAGCATAAATGGCAAAATAGATTTTGAATGAAAGTGAAAGAAAAAAATTAATGGAAGTTGGAACAGGACAGAAGACCACCACATTATGTTACCATAAATATCCTCACCGTAAACTATAATGATAATATCAAGTAACTTTATTTCCTATTAACATTATTGTATTTAACAACAAGAACACAATGTAGCATGCTGCAATTTACAACACCAAAACCAAGCTTTGGTAAAAATCTTTTTTAAGGTGACTTGGAATATAAGGAGTATCAGACTATCACTGTAACAACAAAATCACACTTTTTAATCATTAAGAAACCCCATATATTTTCATTTCAAAGTTGTTCATCCAAGTATTTGTTAGGTGGAGGCAATACAGTAATTTGCCACTTTAAACGGCAGTAAAGCAGAGAAAGATAAACACTGCCCCTAAAATCCCACCATTAGTAAACTTTGTCTTATCAGGCACTTCTAGGATACTTGCTCTTTTCCCTCACTATCATAGGCACCTACAAGTAAAAACAAAAAACAAAACCAACGCACCAAGAGAAGACACAGAGATGATCTCACTTCTGCATTGAACCAGAGGAGTAAAACCTCACCAGAGGAACCATCAAAGTCAGGTGAATGGAAACAGTGGAATAATCTGGTAGAGTCTTCTATTGGCATAGTAAAAGACTCCGCTTAATTTATGTATAATAGATGCAAAGGAAATCTCTGAATGGGAGATTGAATTCCTCAAGAGCAAAATAGTTATGTTTTACAGTGATGTACCACACACTTTTAGAACAGAATAGTGGCTGGCAGGAGAATCTCAATGCTAACAGACATATCCACTAGATAAACATCACAAAGAGCTGTCTGAAAGAGTAAATCTCCCTTCAGATCAGAAAGGCAGAGTAGGCACTCCCTTGTGTAAACAGTAATATCCCAGGCATCTCAGCACTTCAGGAAGAAATGTGAACTCCTCCTTTATATAATCTAGATTCTTACATAGCTGAGCATGTCCTGTTACTTGCCTGTGGAGTTACATTCCACTAGGGAAAGTGCAGAAGAGTGTGAAAGAAAGAAAATATGTCTCCATTTAAGCTCATATTTTCAAGAACAAATGGCATCAGTTTCAAACAAAACAAAAAATTTAACCAAATCAGAAAAACACACACAAAAAAACCCCCAAAAGACAGCCAACAAACAACTAAGAAAGAACAAAGAGAACAGAAATAGAAAGAGGAAAACCTAAGTATCTGAACAAAGTGGAAAGGAGAAATGTTCTGATGCCAACAGTGCTCCAGCTGATCAAAATGCCTAGGTATGAAGCAGCAGACCCACAGGATTTTGTATCTTTTTGTCTGGGTATTAAAAACCAGAAAAAGGGTCAGATATTTCCATGAGGGAAGCAAGGGTTAATGTAACTCTGGATGGGCACACCCAGCCCAATGAAGTAGACTGCTAGAATCCTTGACAATGTGCTCAGCAGAACCTTTCAGAAGAGGAATTTTCAGAAGTATCAAGACAGCATTGGTTCTTGAAGAATGACTTCAGAGCCAGAGCCTTCAGTTTTTACCCCAGAGACAAAATCATTCAGCCCAGGTTAGTAAGAACTACACAAAATATGTTGCTGTTAGTATCCAAAGAGTAATTACCTGTACAGTACACACATTTTTGACAGAAGTAAGCTAGTGATAGCAGCAAGCTTAAGTTTTAAAATATGGTCTTCAGATTTAAGAAATTTGAAGACTACTCTTCAGGTCTGTCTCCCTCCACTAAGATACAGTGGTCCTTCACCATACATCACGTCACCCACATCCCATAGGAAATACACAAAATGAAGTTTTCAGATAAGATATAATCCCAAAAAATCATTTTTCTTATGCAGAATACAAGTCCAGAAGTCAGCAGAAACTAATAACATACTACAGACACTACTCAGATGCACAGGAAGAATCAGGGGAGTTCTCAGAAAATATAAGGAAAAACCAGATGCATGCACAAACCATATGAAAGATACCAGGTTTAAAAAGAAGCCTAAATGTGAAAGCAAGCAAAAGTACACTCTCAGGTAACACCCAAAAACCCCTAGGTTGTGGCCCCTATTTGTTAATGTCATGCTGAAAGATGATGAGAACTTGCTAGACTACAGAGAACATCTATAGTACCAGAAGTCCCTAGGGCCTTCTTGTACTTTAAGAAGTACACATTAGAGCATACTGAATGTGTGTTTTAACTCTTACACATAATTGCTGATTTGAAGTGGGACCTCCTCTGACAATTGTGTTAATATACTCAGTCCTTTTGTAGCCAGGTCAGTCTCAGATTTTATTGTAGTCAACAACATGTGCCAGCAATGGCATCTCTTAAGATTCTTTTTGTTTGTTTTGGGATGCCAAACCAACAGGACACAAAGCAGCAAAATCTTCTTGAACTTCTAACACGAAAATACAATCGTTTGAATTAAATTCTGTGAGTCTTAAGTAACAATGTCTGAAGCCTGTGAAAACTGGCTAAGAAAACAAGTAAACCTACTAGCTATTCTCAAATGAATCTAGTTTGGAAACTATCTATAGTTTTCAAACCAATATTATCAAAAGCAACATTTTTGGTTTTGGGGGAGAGAAGGTAGTAAAGGCAAAAAAAAAAGTAAGTGAGCAAGACACATCAATCTATAATTGATGTAACATATAAATAATATACGAAGATTCACATTTGAAAAAACCGAAACCTAACCACAATTACTTTTTCCATGAAGAATCACAGAATATTGGGAAAAACTGTTTTCTCCACAAATAGAAAATGTGTTGTAGTTACCTTAACATGCCACTCAGGACGAGAATTCATATAATCAAACAGCTTCTGATAATTCTGGTACTGCTGATCCCATTCAGAGCTTTCGGTGTAGCGGAAATCATCCCCAAGTGGAGCTAACAGAACTTTTGTACGGAAAAGCTTTGACTTCTTCCTATATTGATCTAATATAAGCCAAGCCCTTGAGAAGAGTTAAAAAACAAGAGCAATTCAGAAGAGGGAAAAAAATCACCATACGACAAGACAATTCTTAGATACCAAATTGTGCATTAGTATGACCCCAAACAAGACATACAAAACTCTGTTCTCTCACTTCATAACAAAAAGCTGGATGCAATTCCCCCCACTGGGACACCATATTCAACCTACTATTGTTGCAAACGCCATGCTAATTAAATCCTTCAATAAGCTTATCAAGCTTCATCTCAAGCAGTAGGGCAGTCTAGATCAATTTGTGCACGTGCCAAAACTAACCTCCAGTTCAAATTATGTTTACCTGCTTTATATTTAGGTAACAATCCTAATTCTCTCCAGCCCCTATTTACAATAATAAGCAAGCTCTTTCCATCCCCTCTGGCACCTTCCTTTGATACTTTGCTTATACCTTCATGTCCTTAGCAGATAAACTGCCCACAGATTAATCTCTGAGGAACACCATCCTTGCAAATAAAAAAAAAAAAAAATGCAGGAGGAAGTTTGATGCTAAAAATTAATGTTCTCCCTCCAGCCAGGTTCTTACATGTCTTAGAGCCATCTTTCTTGAATCTTTGAGTCCTGAAAAATTAAACCCACTGTTTTATGCTTTTGGCCTTAAAAAAATCCAAAAACTAAAACCCTATCTTACCAAACCCAAAAACAAAACACTCACACATGCACACACAGAAAAAAAACCCTGCAGAATTATACTTTGGTTCCTACTAATTCTAGAATGGGTAAACTATCAGCCATAGCAGCATTATATTAAGAATCACAAGCCTGGTATCTAGCTTACTGAAAAAGTCCATTTTCAACCCTCCCCCTCCAAATCAGTTATTATCAGCATCTTCAGATGCTGATGCCCTCTAATTAAAATTTTGTAAATAATTTTCATAGGAAATAAAAACCATAGTAACATATTTAAGAAAACAGACATACTAATTCCAAGGCTTTTAAAAAATACCAGAAAAATCAGATTCTAATGAGGTTCTTTTGTTTCTTCATGTCTTTTTAATAGATGATCTAGCAAAAACCTTTCAATTGATGCTCTTGAAGAATTGCTATTTAAACATTTATGCAGAATTTCTAGTCCAATATATTTGAAACCCCTCTTTCTCTGAGCAGCATGTCAGAGCTTACTTATTTATCCGACTGCAGAAGTACTGCATAAACACAAGGTCTGACAGTATTCCGGAGAGAGAAAGGGGACACAACATTAACTTTAGTTAAGGATCTACAAAGTTCTAACAAGACTAGAATTTACCCACCTAGTGGCTTTCCCCGTCCCCTGTCTGTTAGTCAATTGATAGTTCAGATTGCCAATCAATACTTTCCATGAGTTTCAACAGGTTGTAAGATTTAAATGCAGAAGTTTCCTCACCACACAGCTACCAAAACAACTGGCACAACACAAGACTTTGCAATGCTTCCTTCTAAGCAGCCAGTCTAACTCAAATTTTCCACATATAGGCTATGGTTGAAAACATACTTTAGTGTTGAATCTTTTGAAAAACACAGGTTACAGATAAGAGGACATTTGACTTGGACATCTCTCTTCAAAGTCCTCCTTGGGTTTCTTTCCAAATATCCAGCAAAATTCATCAGAATTGCTGCCTTCCCAGTTTTGAAGTACTGATAACTGTGGGATTATTATGTGCTTTTAAGGGAACAGCGAGATTTTTCTCTATTGCAAACCACTTTTAATTGCAAAAACACCAAAGAACATCAACTCAGGTATATGCTTCTATGTTTCTCTCAAATAACTTCCTAAATCCTTAATTCATAGAGGAGCGTGAAAGTGCTAGCAGAAAGGTCCAGACAGAGCACAGTGAAGACAAAATATACCTCTGGAGGAAAAAAAAAAGCTTCCATTGAGTCACATCATTTTTTTTCCCTTTACTGTTCCCCAGTTAAACAGCATTAGGTACATTTTGAGATGTTTATCCTGCCTACCTGAAGGAAAATCTGAAAACCACACAGGAGATCAGCCATGACAAACTTTTTGTTTTCAAGCTCAGATTACCACTGAGTGCTTGAGACCTTTCACAAATAAATAAAATCTTTTTGTACCACAACTTCTTTTAATGCAAAAAACTGAGTATTTGAGTAAATAAGTACAGAAACAGTAAACATGACTGGTTTTGACCCTTCCTATGCCAAAGAAAGAGGAGCAATAGCCACCTGAAGTAGGCAACCACAAACACTAACCACCATGTGACCATACAATGCAATCATAAAGATAAAAAAGCTGAAGGGCAAAACTGGGCTTTAAAACAGTTGCTGGTGAAGAGGAAAGTCCATTCTCTACTCTGAAGAACACAACTTGCAGCAAAGATTCTCTCCTATTTCAAGCTTGGGAGAGGGAGAGAGAGAGAGAGAGAGAGAGAGAGAGAGAGACTGAAACAAACTGTGCTTCTGCTAACAACTCATTTCCATTCAAGAAAAAAAAGCAAACAATCCAGGGAAAAAAAAACCACCCACAAAAAACCCCCAGAAAAACAAAACAAACAAACAAAAAACCCCAACAACAACCAACAGCTGCTTTTTCTTCCTAGTCTGAAAAATTTCACACTTCAATGTTCAAACATATGGATAAAGATGCAGATGCAAATCAGGGCAAGTGCAAAGTGCAATAGTAGTCTTAATAACCTAAGCTGATATGAAGTACAAGTACAGGTTTTCAATTAGGTTGCTGCTTCATTCCTTTTTACCAGGTCACAACTTAAGTGGCAAGGCAATGAAAAAGCCAACTACTAGGCTGAAGTTTTCAATGCAGCATCTCTTTAATATATATGTAAGGCCAAAATAGTACTGAAATCAAAAGCAACAGCCCCAGCTGAGTATTCAAGATCTGGGTTTTATTACTTTCGTTTTAGTTTTGGCATGATCTAAACCTGGTCTCTAAATTAATCAACTTTTTTTCCAAATGAATGTCCTGTAATTTTTTAGTCTTAAAGCAAGCAGAGATAAGAGGCAGATTAATTAGAGTGCTGCAAACCTATTACCTTGGAACATTATGATGTAAAGATAGACTTTTCAATTCTGGAAGTCATACATCTCCTCATCATAATAACTGTGAAACATGTTATTACAGAGAGGTCAGATCAATAAGATGTTTGGTTGTCTACAGTATTCCAGCTTTTTCAAAAAACACACATAGCATGTTTCAGCATTCTCTATCAAAACATTACTTCCTGTGTCTTAGTGGGTTTATTTGAAACCGGACACTAAAAGTGTGGTTCAGGTGCTCCAAATGTAAATAATCCAGCCTTCCAACTCAAAGATCATATGTTAGTTTTACTTTTCCCATAGGTATCACACAGCATACTGATGTTTCAACTCCCTGTTAGACACCAAAACTGCTTTTATCTAAAAAAAAACCTGATGCAAAATATTAAGTTTCAGAGACCATATTGAGACAATAGTTATTTCAACTTGATCATATGTTCACTACATCCCTGCCACATTTATCTTATTCTTAAATATCCTTTGACATGTGAAAACCCATTTCTTTTACAAGATCTAATTTAGACTGTTATGCAAAGGTTGCATCAATGAAGTGCAGAGATTAAGAATAATTACAAACCAAGACCCTTGAAAAGATTATTTCAAGCAGACACTCTAAATTATATTTATAGCCTCTATGTTTCATGTATTTGTTGTACAAGCTGTTGCTCTTCTGCAAATATTTGTCTCAACTAATTGAGATATATAGTCAAGATTTTTATTTTTTTATGTATTAACATTATTTAGATTTTTTTATTTAATGACAGTATTTATTTTGATTTAATGACTTTTTTTTGATTTAATGACATATGAATTTTCCTTCATATGTAATAGGCACTGCGTGTTCACACTTTTTCTACTTTTCTCCAGCCACCACCATCTTCTCTTCTCTACTTTATCAAAACCCCCATTTTCCTGTCATCATTTCAATTTCTACCTTTAAATACAGCAGTTGTAAGTTATTCTGTTTAATTTTGGTATTATCTTCAGTAATATTTTGTAACTGAATTTTGTTGAGTAAAGTTTTCATTATGCTTGTCAGAATTTATACTCAGAAAAAAAGTGATCCATACCTGACATGTAGACAAGCAGTGCAATATAATCACATCATCACTTTTAAAACTTCAGTACCAAGGACCAAAAAGTCACCCTGCTCTCCTTAATACATCTGTTATGCTCAGCAATTTGCACTAATTATAAACAGCTGCCTCAACTTTTACCTCTGGAAACCTAATGTAATGTGAAGATAGCAATAGGACCACAGAATACAACTATTTTCTTGAAACACCTTTGGCAGTTTAACTCACTTCCCTTTCTTTTGGTTTTTTCCTTCCTTTACTCTCCTTCCCCATCTCCCTACCTCCACCCCCCACCCCATCACCCAAAACTGAGAAACAGTTTTGTAGAAGTGTAAATTTGATTCTTAACTGTGGCAAAACAACTTAGTGTTTCTGTTTGAAAAGTAAAACTGAGGTTAATAGGAATTTCCACCCTGGGCACAAGAATTTTCACACTGGGTACAAAAAAACCCAGGAATCAGATTAACTTAAGGTTACACTTCAGGAAACTTAGGCCACAGGATGCCAAGTTTTTCAAGGATATACCACAGGAAATATCCCACTGTTGTATTTACAGCACACTACACTGTGCTGCCCTTGAAGTGTTCCACTTGCAGGGGACAGATCACTGCACACAAAACTCACAAAAACCAGTAAACCAGTGACAGAAGTCCAACCAGATGACTGTCTTCTGACTGTCATTTAGAGATGGACTCGTGTCATGAACAGAAAATTTTTAAAACTGCCCCTTCCTTAAGTATAACTTTTCCTCTAATTTCACTGACAGTTATGTTCCCAACTAAAAAGCAAACACCAGGTTATGTAATAGTTATTGTTTACCCATGACAAACTTATTTTAAAACCTTGTACTGGTTTTGGCTGGGGTAGAGTCACTGTGGTCAGTATGGTGCTGTGATCTGGATTTGCTCTGATGAAAGGGTTGGCAACAGAGAGATGATTTTGTCATTTCTGAGCAGGGCTTGCACAAAGCCAAGGCCTCTCCTGCATCTCAGCCCATGAGTTCTCATTTTACTCTTCTGATTCTCTTCCCTGCACCACCAGGGCAGCAGTGGAGCATAGCGGAGCTGAGCTGCTCACTGGGGTTGAACCACAACAGAACTAAGTTCACCAAGCTATGCCAGATGTCATCTGGCCAGCATAATTACTTTTTTTAAGGTTATTCCCTTGAAGAGTATGTAAAAACTGTACCTGTGTTGAATATTTCCAGCATGAATGGCTTCTGGTGGAACTCTCCAGGGGCAACTTATTCTTCCTCCAGGAAGTCGTTTGAAATCAAACTGGCAGCAAATTTTTGGATCCGGGCCACAAGTATGAGGAACATCATAGCTATAGAAAGGCATCATATGACAAAGAATATCTGTACTGGATCCCAAATCTGGAATTAAATAGAGTAAAACTTTAAAATAAACCCTTTCAGATTTGCCAAAAGTAAATCAATCCCATGTTCTCAGTCCAAGGATTGTATTGAAAAGATACCATACCAAGAAACAATTTCTTATTTTGAATATCCATAGCTTAAGTCTATTTTTGTATGTACCTTATATGTATAAAGAGGTTAAAACAGAGATACAACCAAGATTGGAATGTTTTAGTGAAGCACCAGCTGATTGGGAAAGACAGGAACAAATGCTAGGTGTGTTTTACCCAGATAAAACTTGTGATTTTCAGAATTTTAGACTATAATAAATAAATATCTTCTAAACTTTGAGTGGATTAAAACAACAACTTAAAAAAAACACAATTATCAAAACAAAACAAAGAAAAAACCAAACCAAAAGCCAATCACCCTCCTGTCATTGCCTCCTTAGCACAATACTTAAATTAGTTGAAATGTTTCCTGTCATACACTTCATTTCCACATAGTAGAAAATAAAGGAGTAGGAGGAAAAAGAAAAGTAAAAACACAGAAAAGAATTTTTCACCCCTTTTACTTTTGCAAGGAATATGAGAGAATGGAAAAAACAAGAGAAGGTAAAAGCAAAATTAAAAGTGAAAAGAAAGGAAGATCACAGGAACAATGGCAATTATATCATTGTTTTATATTTAGTGCCTTTCCTAACTCACAAATATTCTCATTTCCCCTTCTGTTATTCAAAGAGGGAGGGGGAAATTAAAAAAAAATCTCATCAATTTAAGCTAGATAAAAGACCTTTTTTTTAAACAGAATTGCAAGTTTAAAATTTTCAGGTCTAGACAAACTCTGCTAAATCTGTAAATATTTATGTCTGTAAATATTTCCACAGTAATTATTCTCTTCATATTTTACATGTGTAAATTAACAAAATAAATTGACAAAAAGGAAGAACACATACCCCAGTTCTGTCTCCAAAAAAATTCTAGTGTCTTTTGTGTTGAAAAATGTTTTTTAATTGAATAATGAACTCTCTGTATAAGCATTTTGGAAAATCCTGCGCGCTTCAGAAGGTAGGCCATTGTTGGTGAATGCCCAAATGGATCGATTGCCCATCCAGACTTTGGTTTTACTCCTGTTGACAAAAGTAAAAGCTTTACTTTTCACTCAAAAAAAGTTATTCCAATAATTTAAATGAGAGTACTACAGATAAGATTTCCAAGATTATATACCCAGTTAAGTGTTAAACCTCCTGCAGAACCCTAGAACTAAAAAACTAGAAGTAAACAGTTAAACAAACAAAATATCTTATAAGTAAGGCATTCTAAAATAAATTCTAAACTTTAAAATAGTACTCATTGCTACACTGGTTCAAATTTGCATCAAACATCTTTATTTGGAATCATTGATACACATCCTCTTTCATTAAAGTAGTTTACAGATATTATAATTAAAAAAGAAAGTTGAAAGAAAATTAATGGATGTGGATAGATAAATGCAAGAGCTTGTTGAAATTTCAGTTATTTAAATGTTAATATTTCTTGGCTTCAGAACTATTTTTTTTAAATGTATTAGTTTGTTGCTCAATAGAATCCTGTTTATTAATACTCTCTTTTCACTAAAATTCATGCTAGTAAATAAAGAAGCTACATTTAACACTTGTTAATTCATCAACATGTTTCCTTTGGCACTTTTTACTGTCTTTCCAAGAAAAAAAACACATTAAGGAATGCATTACCCTTTTATTAGGTCTTCCCTTCCCCCTCCAATTATGTCAAGCTGTGTTTATGGAAATTGCAATCTAAGAACAACAGTGGAACAGCTTTCCAAAATAATTTCAGTTAACTGGGTGAAATAATGACAATTTATTATTAAAATCACTGTACAAATATTTTCTATATAAAAAGATTTCCCTCCTCTTGTGGAACTAAACAAAAGAACATCCCAAAGGCAGCAAAACGGTTCAGCCAATGTAACTGCAGTCAGTAATTCCTCAATCCTAACATTACTATGGGTTAGGCTTTATAACTACTACTAATACTGCTGCTACATTTAATTTTTTTAAAGCCTTACAGAAGAGAATCTAATAAACACAGAGCAGGCAGAATAGATCCAAACACATAAAAGCAGTATTAATTTTTAAGTAGTTTTAAGAATTTTGTCATGATATTCAAAAGACAGAAAAGGCAATTAAAGGCTGTTTAGACCAGCCAAGGGGACTGAAATTTAGCATTGTTTAGTGTTTAGTATTTGATTATGACAATACTATAAGCAGGTCTTATATTGATCAAGACAAAATGCTGTGGCAAAAAATTGGTCAAATACACTTAATCCAGGAACTTTTATCTGCAAACATGAACAGCAAATACCAGACATGATCCAACAGCTTCCTGTAAGTGGTCTGATTTAATGATTCAGGAAAGCTGAGAAAAAAGAGCCTTCTAAAGACCTCAAAAATTTAACAAAATTTTTCTGACTTCTTGCATTAACATAGTTAAATTTTAGATTCATGTACATACCAAGGTTCTTTTCTAGCCACTGGTGTCCTTCTATCAGCTGGTCAATTAAAGCAAAATAATGAGAAGAAGCTTCATCAGGCATGACCCATCCTCCTGTTACAATTTCAAATTGTCCATCTTTTATTAACCTGAAAAATACATAAATCATATTCAGAATCTTTCATATGAAAACACACTCATAAAATCAATTTCTGTATACTCAACAGGCAACCATCAGCAACACGATTCCAAAATCTAAATCGTTTTTGCTATTTCCATCACTAGGCTACATTTCTTTAATCAAACAGGAATAAAAATGAACTGCTGAACAGTGAAGTAATTCATGTCCTTGTGCAAAGAAAACCAGTTCTACTGCATGTGCTATATTAGCTTTTTTAAAAATCAGGAAGAAAGCTGTTTCCTGCACAGATTACAATAAAAAAAAAAATGTAACACAGCATTGAAGGCTAACTGAGCTGCTTAGATACTGCACATTTCAAGCACTGCTTGAAATATCTCCCCACCTTTGATCTAATATTCTTTTTAGAGTTTTAGAGAGCTGATAGATCTTGGAAGTTTATTGTATTTATAAACGTTTCAGAACATCTCACTCATCAAAATGCTGTCTTGAAACAGGTCACAGGACAACTCAGTCTCTCCATTGTCAGTGAACATAAAGATCACACTCCCAGCAACAGGCTGTCCCTACAGTTTCAGCACTTACACTGTTCACCAGCGTAGAATTGTTTAATGAATTCAAGAAAAAACCTACAGTGAACTCATAAAATCTTAGTCCCTTCACAGACGGTACCCATACGAGTAATGAAAATCATGCAACAAAAATAATTTTAAGTGCATCTTCTCCAAGTCTTCTCCAGACTCAAGTGCAGCTTAACCAATATCTGACTCATCTGAAGAGAGGACGTAGTTCCCTAGTGACTGTCATTTACTGTTTAATGTGTTCCAAGAGATATTTTTATGTCAAAAAAAACACACAGCTGTGCTATAACACTCACCCACTGCACATAACTTTTTTTAATAAGCAGCTTTTTTGCCTAGATCACGAAATTTCCACCATTACCTAACCTTTGAGCCTATGAAGGTCTCAAGGATTTAAATACATACTGCAACACATGCATCTCAAAGAGGGGCATAAGAAGGAGGCTATCACAAGGATGAGCTAAGAACTGTCAAGTAAAAATAAGAAAAAAAGTCCCCAGTTTTTGAAAACTACAAACCAGATCCATACTACAAGTTTATCCAAGCAGCCTGCTTCTTGTCCCAATGCCTAGGCAAACTAGGCATTTTACTTCTATATTCCATTTTGACTTGTGATTTCAAAAATGACTAAGAAGAGTAAGGGTGTAGAGTACATACCACTTTACAATTAAAGCAGATGCATGTTCATAAAACCCTTTGTACTTAAACACCAAAGAAACTCACAAATTTCAATTCAAATAAAAATCACATAAAATCTTCATGTGTGTTATAATAAGGAAAAAATACCATGTAGAAATAACTAGTATGAAAGATGTATTTATTTTATTGCAAATTCCTGAGCGTGATTTCAAATAAAGATTATATTTGCTACTCCCTTACAATTTCAATGAATGTTCATGGTTGTACATGGGAACTTTTAGTTAAATTTTTAGGCAACTCAGTAATTTGTCTTCATTTCCCTGAGCAGATTCCCATTTTGCAAATGGGAGAAAACCCAACCATGCCCAAAAATCAGAACTGAGGCAGTTAGTTGGTTTTTCTAGCAATTCCTCATCACAAGTGAAATCTCAAGTTTACAGTGTAGTCAAATACACAAAATCTCAAAACAAGATACACAGAAGAAAAGTTCAGTACTCAAACCTCTTAACAGCATCTTTTTTTTGGCTGTCTATTCCATCCCACCATTTTGAAAAGTAGGAAATTTCAGACCATATAAATTTTCTTCGGTTGTCTTCTTGCAGTTTTATAACCATGTTATTTAAAATATGCTGTGTCTGATCTCTGAAGTAATCATCAAAAGTCTTCAGCCAACCTAGGAAAAAGAAAATATAAATGAAGCCTGTTTAGAGAACTGGCTTCTTAGTCTCTTTAGAGAATAGTCCCTTAGAGAACTGGCTCCTTCTCACTCCCCAGAAAAAGCTAAAAAAAAGCTTTTTTTGTTCATAAAAAGCTTCACGTTTCACGGACAGCTTGAAGTGCTAAATTTCCAAGGAGTTTCTTTTTACAAATATTACACATTTTATTTCCTAATTGTATAAACATATGGAAATTATTAGACTTTTCTAGCTTTTCTATGCTTTGCATATTATAAAATTTCATCAACAAAATACATGGACTCAAAAAATTATGCTTCAGTGAGAAGCAAAGGAAAAAAAAATTTAACCACATTTTCAGATTTTACATGCTTACATTAAATTTTTTAACCACTTCATAATACCTTGCATTAGAAAATACATGCATCTTTCTTCTGTAACTGCAGCTGAAAAAATTAAGTCTGTTACTTACAACTTGCTCTAAAATGTCACATTCCTACTCCTACCAGCTTTTGTCGCGTATCCCCATTTTAAGATTTTGTGAAAGCTTCCACATTATGTGAAGACAGCACTCCAGACAAATATTACACTAGTAATTCTACTCAGATTTACTAACTCAGTGCTGCTGAGCCACTGTCTTTCTGACAGTGCCAGTCTACTCACAGGATACAGGATTAGGCTGTTATGCAATGACATGATATTGTTTCAAGGAAATTACATAAGTGCAGAAACATTTACTACTAAAAAAATAATTCTCAAATTTAGTTTTAAAAAACTTTTTCATTAAATAAAGTCTGACTATTGACTCAGAAAGGATATATTACACTTTCTTTTAGGGATACAAAAACCCAAACATTCTTCTTAGAAATGCTGCCTTTAATTTGCAAAAAAGAAATAAAACCAACACTCCAGAGGAAAAGTTCTGAAGTTCTCAAAAATGGGTTTTTTTACAGATGTTTAGCATCTAGAGGACCCATCACCTTTGATACAAGTTTCTGTACAGATAGACAAGCAGGGTCTAATCTGTCTTAAAGGGGGAAAATTTTGTCAAGGTAGTTAATATGAGGGCTTAAAGCACAAAATTAAAACATACTTTCTTTAGAGGAATGGAAATAGCTTAATACAAAAAAAAAAAACAGTTGACAGTAAATTATTGCTATGCAATAGTTTAAAGGCTGAAAAAATGCGATGAATAATCTGAATTTGTAATCAGACTTCTTTCTGACCTCTTCCCACTTCAGTCTGGGTTGGGTTTTTTTAATAGATGCTTCCACTCAAAGAATTGAGATCATATAGCAAATTATTCTTTCTCAATTCTCATTTACTTTTCAATAAATTAAGGGAATATTTTACTGATAATTACATTAAAAATATCCACATTTATTACGTCACCAGTTTATACCTTTATACTAGAAATTTCTTCTGCAAGAGGCAGAATCATCCTAGAGCACAACTAAAGGAGAATAAATTAAAACCATGCTATGATTTTCCTGTATAGAAAAATATTATCATAATAAACTATTTTAAAATATTTTAATATTGCAGCAATAATAGCAAATTTATATTACTCTTCTGAACATTCTTAAAAACATTAATACACCAGCCTAACTGAAACACTGATTTAAGTGTCAAAGTAGCTGACAAAAGAATACAGTATGATATAGGAAGAACAGTGTTATAATGAAATTACTGTTTTAACATACTTAGTTTATTAAGCTAAGGAAGATTTTTACATGGTTAACACACTCAACTGAATACAGTCCAGAGAGGCCTAGGAAATTTTTACAAGTATTCACAGATTTAGCTGAAAGTCAACTGAAAGCCCTCTAAAACGCAATTACAGTACATCTAGTTATTTATGAATTGAACAAAACATTCTGCATAGAAAAGGGCCTATAATGATAATCTAGTCCAACAGCCTGACCACTTCTGAATTGACCAAAAATAAAAATGTTGTTAAGAACATTATCCAACTGCCTCTGAAACAACATCCCCATGAAGCTGCAGAGAGCAGTGAGCTTGCCCCTCAGCCTCCTTTTCTCCAAAATGTACAAACTCCAGCTCCTTAGCTGCCCCTTACTGGACAGCCCTTCTACCAGCTCCACTGGCCTCCTCTGAGTACATCCCAGTGCCGTCACATCCTTCCTAAAGTGTGCTGCTCTAAACCCCATGACTTACAGAGACTTTTCAATTTTGCACGGAAATTAATAAATTAAATTAAAATATTTCTTAAAAATTCAAATATTTTTTAAAAAACCAAAAGCTAAACAAAATAATGGATAAATCAATGTACCATTGCTAGCTAGAGGATTATTTCACATTTCAGTCCCCAATACAAGATAAGAATCTTCAACTCAAGTTCATTTTGTGCTTATCCACAAACTAAGGATTTGTTCCTAGGCTGATTGAAAAGGTTTACCAGTGCATTCTGAATAGGAAACTTTCAATACAAGGATAGTTTACACATGGAAAAATTGCAATAGTTTAAAGTTGCAATTACCAAGACTAAATATGCTATTAACAGCAAAATAATGCTTGGTGGTTTAAATGTACATAAAGCCCTTTGTCAACATAAAACACACAAGATCACAGAATCACTGAGGTAGTAAAAGACATCTGAGATTATTGAGTCCAACCTCTGACTAACCACCACCTTATAAATCATACCATGACACTGAGTGCCACATGCAGTTTTTCTTTTAACACCTCCAGGGATGGTGACTCCACCATTCCAATGTTTAACAACCCTGTAAACAAGAGAAAAAATAGTACCGTCTTTCATATTATTATGCTATGCTTGACTTAATACATATTGAGGACTTTGCTAGATACTTTCATTTTCTGCCAGCCTATTTGATAACAGAGGGTACACACTGCTGAGCTGCTTGCCTTTTGATCCTCTCTCTCACACTTGTCCTCAAAAGTCTGGAAACTTGCTGGCTCCCCCCACCTCCATGAGATTTATCATCGTTATGCAGCTGTTTGTTTAATCAATTTTTTCCCACACTGTAATGTAAATTTACTTGGTTTGACAGCAGACTCCAAGAATCATATTTGAATATCAACACAACTCATTGCTCTGCAAAAAATCCTGAAACATTTCATTAACTGATTTGCCACTATTCCCCTCTACACTTTCAAGTTCAAATTCTTTCTTGAAGCTCTATCAGCTCCTTGCACTAGAGAAAGGCAGTCTTGTGTCTTAGCATGGTTAACACAGATGTAGAGATAAAGGGAAACTTTCAGGACAAAATCAGAACAGAAGCTGCCAAATTAGCGTTATTCAAAAAGTAACTTTATTAAGCAAGGACACTTAACAATTTGATCATGACAGGGATCAGAAATCCATAGCAAAAGTATTTAGGTACTGCTTACATATACCTGCAAGACTCCTGGGGTGGTTTTTTACATTTGCATTTTTGTCTTTTGGTTTAAAATAACTTTGAAATAAAACAAAATGGGCTTTTCAATTGCTTACTTCCACAAGTCATCCTCCAATGTTTAAGAGGAAATGTGCCTTTAAAAAATTCTTGTTTCTGATGAAGTCTGTTTTAATAAGAGGCAGATCATCTAATGAATTTCTGAATTGTTATGCCAGTACCTATTAAACTAATGCATTTTTGATAGAAGTTTGCATCTCTGATTTACTTTTCAGGAGATCATGATTAATTTCACTGATTCTAAAATTCACCCATCAGTGACACTTCCTGCAACACAAAAAATTTGTGTAATTTATTTATTTTATGTCAGTATTAAATAAAACCAATAAATTTCAGCAAGCACTGTACAGCTTTCCAGAAAATAAAAGCATTCTTTTTGCAAATATATTAGTGGAACACCACGTCCTGGTCTTTAAAATGTACACCCAAGTTAGTAAAAATTATCAGTAATTTTTTTTTTTTTTACATTTATGCTTGAATCTTAACTAACTACCTCCTGTAAGAAGACACAGTTAAGTAACTTTTTTGATAGCTGAAAAAATAAGTAAAAAAAAGATGTCATAAACTGTGAGGATATCCTTGTTCTTAATTACATTCAAGCTCCACAAGGTTTTAATAAAAAAAAGTAAAAGGTTTTCATAAAAAAAAAGCCAAAACAAACAAACAAAAACCACAAACAAAAAGGACATGTAGCCATGACTTCTTACCTCTAAAAGAAGAGCTCTAAAGAACTTAAGCATGGTGTGCATGTGTGTTTAATTGATCACACTTAGGCAATAACAATAAGGCAAATGCCAGAAATAAAACTGAAAGCTAAGTTTTAACTTACATTTTAACTATGATTACCCATGAAAATAATTTGGCATTAGTTCCTTTGTAGATTCAGCACTTTAAAAAGTCCCTTATTTTAAAGTAGACAATACACACATTTTTTTTTTTAATTTAGAAGTACTGCATCATTCTATGATGTAAAATACAGAACTGACATACAAGTTAATATTTTATGAATGTTTCTGACACAACGCGTCAGTGCTAATTTCACCAAAAAGTATCTTTTCAACAAAGATGAATGACTCACAGCCAAGACTGTGAAATAAAACTTAAACCTGATGGCAAGGCAATTTCAAATTAAAACTAAAAGCTGTATAAGATTTTTTCTCATTTCTCTATTTCACATAGTCAAATCCGAGAAAGAAAGTCTCCTGAAACATTCTCGTGTTAGAGCATTCATTCTGATTCAAAAGGAATTAGATAGATGAGCTTCTTGTCCCCGCAAAATATGTACCAAAATAATTTAGGTAGATGAAAGTACTCTGAAATTAAAAAAGTAAGACAGTGTATTTATTTTTCCAACAGCATACCTTAACTTGTAAAAGATCTCTGCTCAAGGTAAAACAAGAATGACTTGACTTACCAGGCTTAATTTCATAAGCTTAACGAAAAAATTGAATGACTGCACATTTCCCAAAAAGTAAAATCTGCCATGATCTATGAGGTACTACCAAAATTATAATTAGACTTCTTACATTTTAAGTCCTATGCAAGATCTATTTTTGCCTTTGTACATATCAAATCTGTTGCCATCATAGTTAAGATGGAAAGGAAATTTCTGCTGATGAGCAGTTAAAAGTGTCCTTACTCTAACAGTCCTGTTGATTTCCAAAGGAACTGCACCTCTTCTGCAAACACAGAAATACTGAAAAATAAGCCAGGAATAAAGCTCTAATTTCCCTCATTCAGCATATCAAGAAAAACTTGTGAGCTGCCCATTTCTTGTATTTTGGTGAATCAGACAACAGTTTAAGCAATCTCTGTTCTGGTGAAGAAGTCATCAGAAAAACATATCCAGCCCTGGTCAACAGAAAGCATACATGAAACTCCATGATGTATTAACAGCATCAAATTTTATGGTTAAGTTTACTTATATCTTAACACTGACTTAGTTCTATATAGATTTCCTCCTGAGAAATTGAGACTGTCTTAAATAATAAAAGGTGATTAATGTGAGTGGTAGTAAAGCAAAATTACCAATGTCATAGATAATTGATGAAGTATTAAAAAGCAGTGTTTAGTTCTGACCTTTGTGCCCATACACTTGCATGTAGGTTGAGAAGCAAGAGAAAAATCAACTTCAGTCACTTTCAATTCCCCTTAAAAGCCACTTAAACTAGGTCTGTAATCGCCACATTCAGCAGTGAGATACAGGTACACACATATTTTAGAAAGCTCACAAGTCTCAATTCTTAAATAATTTAATGAGTAGCCATTACCAAAATTACTACAGATCAATAGATGAGGTGTCTAGAGGTGTCTTTTCCTCCCTCCAGTAATATACAATATTCATCTTTCAAGTCCATCTGTGCTGGCTGACAATCTTGCCAGCCCTGATCTAAGTTCTCCCCTTTGCATTTCAGCTGCCTCCTGCACTTCAGGCAGCCACAAAACACTACAGATGAAGCAGTGAGAGCCAACATAAGAGCTCTGCCAGCACAGTAGGTTATAGCTTGCTCCTTAATCTGCTCCTGATAGAATTGCCACCTATCTATGATAGCTATAATCTCACACAACAACCAAACTTCTCTCCATTGTTTAAGACATGCTACTGAGGTGCTCAAATCTTTATCAACTGCCAGCAACTAAAGCAATTGTGCCACCACTGATCAAAACTCTGAAGGAGACCCACTCTCAACCCATTTCCCAAAAGGGAAACACTTTAGCTACTGCAGAGAGAAGCACAAAGATCCCAAGTTTGCAGGTCACAGTTAAATTCACACAGAAGCAGTTAACCCAGTTTTAGCATCACAAAGTGTTTCAGAGCATTGGCACATTCAGTCATCTTCCAAAAAAGAAGGTGGAACTTAAACCCACCATCATCCCTACTGATTGCGTTTCACAGATGCACAGACTGACTTGCATGGAAAGGACCATGCAATTTCTAGCCCCACACTATGGACAGGGATGCCACCCCCTAGACAAAGTTATTTCAAGGCCCTTTCTTTGCCTTTGAGCTACACATTCTCAGTAGTATAACTGGTTATATGAGAAGTGAAAGAGGAAGTAGCTTCAGATGGGAAAACATAAAATCTAATGAGAATTTGAAGCTTCTTCAGCTAATATAGTTATACCTTTACTGACCCCATTTCTTGGTAAATATCTTTCACATATATTGAAATCACTAGAACCGGCAGTAAAATTACCTCATTACTTGAATAGACACTGGTGAAGTATTACCAAATCTCTTCACAGGTTACCTCAGGAGATTTCCCTGCATCTCCTAAACTTCATGTGCCTGAAAGTTACCTCAGCCTACACTGTGCACAAGGTTTTTGTTCAATTCAGGTAAAGACATTCCAGGAGGGCAGATGTGACACCAGGCCAATGGCCTCTAGTGAACTGTCCTGTACCAGCTAGGATGTGATCCCAACAGCTTCAGCAGAAAAAAGGGAGACAGATAAACTCCACAGACCATTCTAGTAGACCCAAGAGAACGAGAACCTCTGTATATTGCCTTAGGATTGCTTTGATTCCCAAAGCTGCTTGTTTCAAGGGAAGTCTTTAGGAGAACTACAACCAGAGAGGAAATAAACGGACACAAGTACAAAGATAGTTCAATAAATAGGCAGAGCTAGGTCTATACTGTGATTATTTGCTCTGAATATTTCTACCATATCCATACTACATAAATTTACCTGTCATAACTGCACAGTAATATAGTAATTCCACATTCCAGCATACATTTTCTTTGAAAAAGCTATATACATGCAAATAAAAGACATTTATGTTTAAACCTTCACTCAGATCCACAGTACTTTATACAACAAATTTGAGTTTAGAGAGGTATACAGTAGTAAAATTTAATATCACTTGAATTGTGGCTTTCTATGACAATAACCAGTGCTACCACATCTCATGGTCAGTATACATGTATCAGGACCACAGTGTAGCAGTATAATTCACTTCTTGGTAAATTTTACCAAGAAGTCATTCCAAAATAAAGGAACACTTCTCCATTTTGTTTATTACACTGTAAACGTACTTGGGTGGAAATGAAATTACATAGATATACCTAGATTTCTGTTTAACTCTAGACTTTTCACTATCCCACTATAGGTTGGGGGTGTGCACAAAAAAAAAGTGAAGAAAGTGTCAAAAAATTCAGATTTGCCATTGTCACATCTTCTAAAAGCACATTTTTTTAGCACAGGCTGAGGACTACATATCTGTGACAGTCCAGAAAATCAAAATAAGAATTGATGGTATTTAATGCAGCAATGTATAAACTGAATGTGTTACCAGAAATTCACACTTTTCAATATCAACACTGAAGTTCTGCTCCAGTTAATAAATTCAGCAGACATACAACTTGTATCATAGCAGTTGTCATTGGAAGTCAATGACACTTAAATCATACAACTGTTTCACTGCCTTGCTAGACTTGAGTCTAACATATTAACTGGTAGGCTTCAAAAAAAACCCCAAATCTTAACAGAAATGGCAATGCATTTCCTAATTCAAAAGTCTCTAGATACTCAAATCAATTCAGTTAACATAATACCTGGATCATTATGTGAGTGAGGCACAACAAAAACTTGAAGTGGTTCGCTGTCCCATTCATTTTCATTGTATGTGATATCAAATCCTTGTTTCCAAACGCCACCATCTGGATTATCAAAAGGAAGAATGTCGTAGACATCCAGCATCTAAAAAAGAAAAATTAAAGGAATATAAAACATGAATTAACAGAAACAGTTCTGCTATTAAAAAACAAAGCTGTTTTCACCTAAAATGGAACAGCTTGTTCATTACAGACAGAAGGATGATGTGCCAAAGGAATAGAAAACTGACAAATGAGAGCAAGTTTCAAATCACGCTAGGACACCCAAGACACAGCTGCCAGGAGAGGAGCATTTGGAAGGCTCCTGTTCTGAGAAAACTGACATTGATTAGATAAACAGTAGGATTAAGAGCCTTAAGTCACAAAAATTATGGCAGCAGCTCACAATGGTATTGGGGAGGGGAGTATGAAGAGGATTATACAGAATAACACAGTACAGTAAACACAGGAATGCAGGAAACAAAGGAAATAAACTGAGCAAGAAGAAATGACACCATGAGAGAGATAGAGGCAAACATCAAAATCACAAAAAGACACTGACAGAAGCTATCAACAAAAATGTTGATAACTACAGCCAACTGCTATAACAAAGCTTCTTGTACGTTTCCTGTTCCCCAGTACATTAATTGTACAAGTAAGGATATATTTCACTTGTCCATGCAAATAAAAAGGTTACAGATAAATAAAGCAACTCTAGAATTAATGTAACAAGTTCCTATGAAACTTAGGGAACACCATACAGCTTCAAAGAGAGTCTACTAATATGAGATCCAAGAAAATTTTTTTGTAAGGCTCTGGTTTGCTTTTAAGAAAGAAGATAACATACAAACATGAATTGACATCAGACAATCAATTCCTGGCACTCTAGTTTTATAACTAAACTTTAATCAGTTCCAAACCCATGTTAGAATACAATTGTACGCCTGACAAACTTTCTACAAAAACCAGTTCATCTACACGAACAAAGGACTAGCAGTCATTCACTACTTCAACACCACAACAGTTAAACCTTCCCAGTGGTAAGGTGCTTTCTGTCCTGCTAGAAAAACTTTAAAAAACTACAGACATCTGAAATAAATATTAAGAAATTTGCAAGGCCTAAATTGCAAAGCCTAAAGAAATTAAGGCTTTGCAATAGTTGACTTTGGCCTCTACCCAGCTGATCTCTCATTTTTCCTCATCACAGGGAGAAATATAAAATATGATGGATGAAGATAAAAACAGGGAGATCACTTACCAATTTTCATTACAGGAAAAACAGACCTGACTTTGGGAACATTAAATTAATCCGTTGCCTTTTAAAATACAGTTGGATAGTGAGAGATAAGTCCATAATGTTTCCTCTCTGTCGTTCTCTCCTTCTTACATGTTTTGCCTTCTCCAGCATGGGAGCCACAGCACAAGACACAGCACATCAGGAACTCCTCCAGTGAGGATCCCCCCCACAGGCTTCAGTTTCTCCTGAAAATATCCACCTATTCTGGCAAGATCAGGTTTCAGGGAGACTCTTTCTCCACTATGGTCTTCCCAAACTGCTCCAGTGACTAGAATGCCTTCTCTGCTTCCTTGATCAAGGACCATGGTGTTCACAGGATGGTTTGTCCCCCATTTTTGGCCTTTAGACTGTCAGGCAGCATTTTACCCTTTCTTAAAACCCATTCTGCCAGAGGTACTGACTTGCTTTGCTGATGGAGACTGTATCCTGTGGTGGGTCTGGAGCTGTGTCTGGCACAGGGCAGGACTGGCCTCTCCTCACAGGTACTGGAGACCCTCACTGCCAACACCTGGACATCTCCTCCCAGAGCATTCCACCCTCAGCTCTGTGAAATACTTACTTAAGAACAGTCAATAAAATATATATTAATCATATAGTCTTCACAAACTTCATCTACATTGACAAAAAATCCCCAACATTTCCTATACTAAAATCAAAGTGACATAAAAATCCTGAGAAAGGGAATTTTTTACACACACCCACATACAAGGTAAATCTGCACTCCTTGCCCTTTCACCTCACCAGAACAACAAAAGAATCCCCACAGTTGTTTCACTCTGGCAATGTTCAGTCCAAGTCTTGGGCATACCATTCGCTATCTCTTAATCCTCAAGAATAAGGAAGAGCAGTGGGTTGACCTTGGATGGGTTGGAATCTGACAGCCAGAAAAGGTCAATCCACTACAGGCCTTTAGCTTAAGGTATAAAGGAAATTAAGTAATGTAAGACGGGAATGCAACTCAGCAACCCTACATCTAGCAGGGCCTCACTGGTCCTGCAGCATGCCCTAGACACCTAAAACCTGTGAGGGATTCCACGTACACCAGGCATCTATGGCCTGTATGAGATGGTCTTGTCACATCACTGGTCCCCCAGGATTGCTTCGAACTTTGGACAATATTGATTAGTGAAAAACACAGGTGCAATACTTGAAGATCTGTTCATTCTGTACTGTCAGCTTGAAGGGCCCAAATAAGGTTTATGCTGAAGTTGGCCAGCCTAATAGCATATATTCTAAATACACTATTAGGCTGATTTATATATTAGATAAATAATAAATAATACATATTTTATATAACATAGATAATATTATTTCTAAATACACTATTTTCTAAAACCTGAGTTTGAAGAACTGTAATTTTTTCTCTGCAACACAATGTTCTGAAGAAAATGTAAGTGCATATTTTATAAATTTGCCACTTAACAATGAATGGCCTTAATACTGATAAGCTCTTTGGACATTCCAACCATGAAAATATGATTTGATGAAAAAGTAGTAATTAATTGAATTGCACACATTCCTATGAATTTTTTCTTATGGATGCAGTCTGAATTTAACAAGCAACTTTCTGCACTCTTCAAGTTGCAAAATTTTACAGTCTTACCATTCATATTTTTTTTCCCCTGACATCTACAACTTTACAGCTACTTCAAACCAAGCTGATATGACTATGAGCTCAAGAGACAGAAACTGCTATTCAGGTCTTGGAGTCCCTGACCCATCATCTAGAGATGCTTGCTGCCCTGGAAAGGTATAAATCCTGGGTATTGCAGAGGAACTACTGAAGCTTGTCCAAATCAATGGCTACTATCCCTTGTTATACTTCCATGTGGGTATCAGTGATACTGCCAGAAGCAACACAGACTGCATAAAAACTTGACTACAGAATTCTGCAGTTAATCAAGGTGAAAAGGTCACTGGTATCCACCAGTGAGGGGGATAAGAGTATAAGAGGAGGACACTGCTAGTATAGATAAATAATTGGCCTCGGAGTTGGTGTTTCAGGTTCTCTGACCCTGTTTTCAGATCTGTGTCTGCTTGGGAGAGAAGAAATCCAGCTAAGGACAACAGAGGTACCTTTTCCAGGAAAACAGCAGAACTATTAAGGAGCTTCTGGCTACGAATAAAAGAAGACTGACAGAATCAACAGCAGCCCTGTGAGGGAGCAGTTGTCAGGAATGATGTCACATGGAAGGATTTTCAAAAAAATATAAGAAATCAATAAAACTGGGCCACCTCCAACATTTGTAGATATGGAAGGAAGTACCCACAAGGCGCAATCACACAGAAATCCCCAAAATCCTTCCTGGGACATCAGCATGCTGGGGTGCCTCTCCGAAGGCATCCTGGCCTGTATCAGAGATAATGAGGCCAGCATAACCAGGGAAGTAATTGTCTCTTCTTGAAACAGGGCCAGCTCAGGGAATACCTAAACTAATGAGACATATCTAAGCCAATGGGCCCTGGTGGGATGCACCCATGAGTGCTGGCTTTTGTCACTGCAAGGCCAAACTTAAAAGGCTTTGAAGGATTGTGGTGATTAGGAGAAATGCCCAAAGACTGAAGGAAAGCAACATCACTCCTGTCTTCAAGAATGACAAGAAGGAGCACCCAGGAAACGAAAGGCAGAGAATGCAGAGAAGGTGGAGCCAGTCTCTTTCCAGGGGTGCCCAGAGACAGTATCAGAGGTGATGGGCACACACTGAAGGCTCCTCCTGAATATTAGAAAAGCTTTTTCCCTGTGAAGGTAATCAAGTACAGGTTGCCCAGTCAGCAACCTGGACATGATCCATGACACCTGACTCTTGGAAGCCCTGCTTGAGCAGGTGATTGGACCAGATGACACCCAGAGTTCCCTGGCAACCTCAACCATTCAGATTCAAAGGTTAATTAAAAGCAGTTTAAAAAAAAAAAAAAAAGATCAAAAGCTTCCACTGAAATCAACTAAAGCCAGATCAGGCTGAAAGGCAAAAGAGGTTAAAGAAAGCATTTCATGGAGATATTTTAGATCCACATCTAAGTATTAAATACTGATATAGCAAAAAAGGACTTCTTATAAACAGTAGACATAGAAATTCAAAAAGGATGCTGTCTGTCTTCATTGTGTCTGCTTCAGAAGACAGCCATTTGCTACAAGCTTTTTATTAAAACACTGGGAAGGCCATCGGGTGTCTTTTTTCTGTATGGGCTTATCCTTTCTCTGTACTGAAGGACTCAAACTGCTGAAATTATATAAATCTCATGAAAACATCATAACATCTTAACAGTGAATACTAAACTACTGCTCAGAAGAAATAAAAGCTTATATTGTGTCTCTTCAAACCACCTTTTCAAAGAGTGATTCATGTCTCATTTTTGAAAAGAGTAACATTACTAAGCCTGATATTAGATGCTTTAGTAGCTGAAATGGACAAGAGGAGGAGACACCTCATTGTATTATTTAAAAGACCTTCCAGCTCAGCATGATGGCTATTGAGAACTCCATCTCCTCTGAGCACAAATGCCAGATACTTCTTGAACTACCAAACTGAAAAAGCATCAGGTCATATCCATATTTAATCCAGTCATCTTCATTTTTGTGTGTACCTGTCTCTATTATTTATCTTTTGGGGAAAAAGTACACATTAATCTTTTACCTGACTTAAATTATAGCATTCTCAAGTCAGCTTTATTTTCAGTTTCCAATTGTTACAGTTTTCTACCAACTTACAAACAGCACAAGTAGCAGGTAAACAATTTCTTGATTTATAATTCCTCCATTAAATAAACATCCTTCAGCTGTCCCATACAAGAATCCTTTGGTCTCATGTTGTTAGCAACCTGGTTTTTCTGTTTTATGAAATCACATGTCTTTGAGTAGCAAATCTAGCAATCACAAGGTTTTTTAATCCTTATTCAAATACCTTCTTACAATGGTTTCTCCATTATGGGAGACTATAATCAACTTCCATGATTTATTCAGTGAAGACTCTTTTGCCTTCATTCTGTTAAGCGGTGTTTGTTTGTTTTTTTTAATCCAAACATTTAATCTCACCTATATTAGCTCTTAGTATTTTCTAGTCCCTCATACATCCACCTGAGACACAAACATGGGAGAAGTAATGCAAAAAAATGTGGGTTTAAGTTAACGTTTACATACAGCAGCAATTAATACATATCTCTTTCAAAAAGTGCTCAAAATAATTATTGAAAATGTGTCAAAACAATTAACTGAGCATGCAGAATACATCAGGATTGGTAAAGTATTAAATAGTAAAACTGTTTTTAGTTTTACTATTTAGATCAGTGATTTAGATCAGCTTGTTAACATGGTGCTAGAGGAATTCTGCTAAAGTCAAGGTCTTAGATTCCATAACTGAAAAATGCAGTTCAGACTCACAGGATGGGAAACTAACTGTGTACAGAAGCATATTAAAGTGACTTAATGTTGGCAGTGAATAGCCTGCTGAGCAGGGGGTGCAATGCAATGACATGGAGAACATTAAAGCCCTCCCTGCACAAGGAAGAAAGGAAAATGTGAACAGGGGAATAGTGTGTTTGCTTCTTATGTACATGCAAATGTACATAAAAGTAAAGAAAATTATCCAAAAGCAGTATAGCTACAACAGACTCCCATAACATAGGTAGTAGGTAGCTGGGTGATAGCAGGTGTATATTCTTATATTCTGCATGGGTGAAGCAAAAAACAAAGACCAGTTTTAGAAAACATGTTTTACCTTCCAGTCATAACAGGTTAACATGCCCAAGAATTTAAGACATGTTTTATCTCAAAATTCATTTACTAAAACTTATTTTTAATGCACATAACCAAGTACATCACCTAACATGATAACAGATTGTAAAATGAATTACCTGTTAATAATCCACTAACTTGAAAGCCTGTAACCACAGCTCCAGATGTTTCACTTCCCTGCACAGAAGTCTTAACAAATATCAGACACACAAAGAGGTGTTCAGACATTGCCTTTGAAAAGTCTACTTTCTCTTTAAAAGACATTAAGGTAGTGCCTATCCCTGAAGAGTTTAAAAGTATAAATCATGATACATCAGAGGTTACAATTGTTCTAATATGTGTACTTATTTGTCTGAAGTCCACTGTCTTTCTCCTGCAATAGAAATACTTCAAATTCTAAAATGAGAAAGCTGGACTTCAAAATTTAATCTTTGCTTTAGAGTACTATGAATATTTATAATACTCCCACAAGACTCACAAAAACAGTACAGATCACAAACTTCACAGAGTATTCTCAGTGCTCCTGAATCACTCCATTAAAACTGAATATATGAGTCCATGAACTCAGAAGCATCACCAGAAAGCCAAATAAATTCAACTTGAAGTGTTTGACTTTAAAAACTTCAACCTCCACAGTTTATGCCAAGCAGTCAACATGGTGTATGTTCCTCCTTTCAGATCAAAATGTCTATACAAACTGGAGACACACAGGAAATGCTGAAATACAGAAATGACATTCAAAAGGGTACACAGAACCCACAATTTTTTTGAAATTAGTAATCGTTGAACATTCTTTATCTCCCCATCCACCTTTGTCTACATACATCCCTAAAAGTAAAATCTATTTAAACCAAGCCTATCCACTATTTCCAGTTTATTTTTTATCAGTTTTAGAAGAGTTTGGGAAACTGAAAGAAACTCTCAAATAAATTGTTTCCAAAGAAGTGGTGGGACAATAATCACCATGAGTTTTTTTTATTTTTTACAAAAGACTTTTAAGCTTTCTCAAATGTTGGCTCTTGATAATCATTACTCAATTTTCAGAGAACTTTTTAAAAAAGATATAAAGGAACAGTTTCATAACATCTGTTAAACACAGCAGTCACTTCAACAATTCTATTATGTCTTAGTACCAAGATTTTTGCAGCAACTTGACATTTTCAGAATTAAACACATAGTGACAGCTGAAACTCCAGCAGAATCAGAAAGGCATACTGCTTACCTGTACACCTGAACTGTGACTTCCACTTTTTGAAGCAAACAAACAATCCTCAGAATCAACTGCAAGCAAAACTGAAGCAGAAGGGAACAGCTCAGAAACAGATCCTGGACCGAAGTTTACAGCTTCTGGATTTTTTTGTCCATCCTTTACTGATTCACTCAGATTGATCACAGAATCGCGTATGTTTGAAATAATCTCATTATTTTCTGCCAACAGGCGCTCTAAATGATCTATTTTTTCTTGCAATATTGAAAGCTGGCCCTGGGAGAGAGAAAAAAAAGTCAAGTTTATTTATTTCTCAGAAAAATTCTTGGGTCTTGATAGACCCAAAAAACCCCAACAACAACAAAAAAATTCACAATAGTGTGTGATCATAGAGAAAATTGAAATATATATTTTACATTTTATATAAAGACAAACTAATAAAGAATTGATGCAAAACACAGAACTTCCTCTTTTCAGTACAAGAGAAAGTAACAAAAATAGAAAGAGAAAAATGTATGATACATTTTTCCTCTGTGAACTTGAATTCACAGCACAAAATTAGGCAGGGATACAAAGATACTCTTTAAAGTCTCACAGTGTCAAGTAGCAATTATATCTAATTCAACTTTTTTCACATCTTTCATTTCCAAAAATCTGATATTTTCATTTATCAGAACATCAAACAGAAAGCTATTTTTTACAAGTCAGTCACATCATGATGGGATTAAGAGGATATTGTTAACATTTCAGGTTTTATTCCTACACATGTAAAATACAAATACCACCTTTCTGATTTTCAACAAAAGTTGGAGAGAAATCAACAAAAGAACTTCATGGGCATAAGCAATCCCTTCACAGCTTGATCACAGGAATAATCTGTATAATTGGACCATTACAATCATCAAGAAAATCCTGTAAAAGAGAGATCAAGCTAATGGCATTTTCAGTCAGAAGGTCACCTCCAATTGCCAAACAACAGGATTTTGTAGATATTCTAGAGAGCTCCACAAGAGTAAGGCTGCAGAACAACACCAGTGTGAATTGAAAAAGTCAACACATCTTCCAGTGCAACTTGCAAGGAAGAGAGAGATCCTGCAAAGCAATTTAATCACTGTATCTAATCACGGTATTGCTGGGATGCAGGAGGTAGCACAGCCAATCAAGACACCCCAAAATGCTACCACCCTCTCATGTACTAGCCACTCCTACCAAATTATTTGAGGGATGCTTTTTATCAGGCATCAATGTGCTAGCTTTTACAGAATCAAAAAGGCCAGATTATTTAATATGACCTTAGGGATATCTATCATCGTTAACAGCAATTTCTTAATTTGCTCAGAATTACTTAAATGTAACAAGAAGTGACAAAAGAACAAAAAAAAAAACAAACAGTCCCTTTCTATTATTAAAACTGAATTCAGATCTGAAAATATACAACACATGATTAGATATTTTTGCAAGTCATAACAGCAAAACCTGCTTCAGTTTCAGGCATCTACATTTTACCACTACATTCAACACAAATACCATTGATTCTGCAGACAGCTACTCTGTGACTTATGATTTTAATGATTTTTTCCTAGCACCACTGCCTTATTTTCTTAGGACTGTAGCATAATATTAGAAACAACATCTGTACATGGACACTTTTCCCTTTCAACTGTAATATACTTGAAATATTTTCCTTTTTCTTTTCAGCAACTGTAGTTTGTAAAAGATTAGGTCTCCTTCTAAATTGAAGTGTACATTCTTTCAAATTCTCTTGGTTTTGCAAAGTCCTCAGGAATGAAAAAAATTTTAAAAAAAATCCCTTACCAAGAGTTACCAATCATGTTTTTGGATTCTAAACTGTCATTACTATAATTCTACCTTTATGGAAGTTCTTTGTAATTTTCAGACAATATGTTTTAGTATTTTTTTAATGCTATTGGTTTGTCTCTGTGTTTTATGGGCTGTGTTAAGTGCTGATGCGCTGCTTGTTATTTCTGCTTCTTAGATTGATACATCCTGAAAACAGTAACAGGTTTTAAAATGCAACACAGGCAGACAGCTACCATTTCCAAAAAAGACAAAAATATATTTTGACGACAGAACTAGATTCAGCTAAATGAGATGTAGGAGCAACATCCTAGAATCCCAACAGTTTAAAGATAAATTCTAAAAACTTATAAAACTGAGGAACTGAAAACAAGAAGAAATCAATATGTAGATGATGGAATACTGGAAAGAAAAAAAAATAAACAGACTGTAGTCCCATGCCACCTGGTGGCACAAAAGAAACAACTAGACTAAAATCTTTCAAATATTATGTTAAAGATACTGCATACACATTTCTATGTAAAATTAGTGTGTTCCCTTTCAATACCTGTAATGTTTTGAAAGTAAGAAGGGCTTCTCTACATGAAGCCTAATAGCCTATTATGCCACTCAATCTAAAAATAACATATTTAAAACAATACTTGATAGGGGCTTTTCAGGCTGCCCAACAGAGGCTCTTTAATTAATAAGAAATTACAGTACAACTACCATCCATACAAATCATTCTCAGCTTCACTGCATATGACTACTGTTCAGAGATATCAAGCATGCAAGCAGCTAAAGTACTGCTCACACCTATCCCACCACTATCAACACTGTCTCTACAACTGTAAAGTCAGACAACTATTTAATTTTTTTTTTCTCATTCATGTAAGCTGTAGAAGTATTTTACACCTTCTTCCACAAAAAGAGTTTCACATTGTTTAGCCTATGAACTACCTGGTCAGAGAATACACCACCAATCTGGTCTATATCATCTAGCCAATTATATGGTCTTCAGGAAAACAAACAAACAAAAAAAAATATAAAAACCTCATAAAATAAGTGCTTGATTGATGCTTCCACTGGCATATACTATCAGTCTCTAGAAGACAGATATAAACATCCTCCAAATTTGGAGGTCACATTATATTTCATACATTTAAGACATATCTTTCATTTAACTTATTATACGTTAAACCTTGAAAAATCTGTAACAATTCTACCAGTTTACTGTTTATTATTTGACAAAATATTTTTCTTTGTAAACCAAGTTCTCAGTCTACAAATAGCAATTTGTTACCAGGTGACCTTCAAACATCAACAACTTCATATGTTGCTACATACACCCAGCAATAATTTGTAAGCTGCAAGATTTCAGCCTACCTAGTCCACTTATTTTCAGAAGTCTGCTAAAGTATGTTACTTTAACTTTGGAGGTAGATCTTCTGTTATTTGGAGAAAGAAATCCTTACAAAGACCTCCCACTGTGCAGCCTAACAGAAGACACAAATATGGAAAAGTCTGCTTTCTTTTCTGGAGACTGTAAGATATATCATGCCTCTCTTCTAAACATGTTATGTGCCAGCTCAACTTGAATGCAAAACATGAAATAAAAAAAGCTACAGTTTAGAACATGTAACCAAGACCTCATGCAATACCCAAGTTAAAACCACAGGAAATCAAATTTTTTAGATAATCAAAATTTTGTTTTGTTGTGAAATGTCAGATCCATGAGAATTAACTTTAAGAAACAGCAGTGTCTCAGACTAGAAATGGATCCCAGCCTTCATTCAGTATGAAAATAATTCGTATCAGGAATCCATTCTCAAGGTGAAAATGTCACATGGATCCCAGTTATGCAAAGGTAGGTCTATTTTCATTGCACATTCACCTTTTCTTCTTATTCATTTTAAACAGATAGTGCCTATTCAATAGTAAAATTATTTTAAAATATGAGCAGAATATGGAAAACACTGCAAACTGCTCAAAACAATGAATTTAACAGGTGAAAATAAATTTAATTTCAACACTTTTAAAGGAATGCAGCTGTCTTCAAATATCAAGGCCAAACAGTATCAAACTGAAGTTACCCTAAAGCTGTTTTATCTTATTAATTACTAGTAAGAGACCTTATCTCACCAGAATAAACAGATTAGAACCATGTTACAGGGGACACTAAACAGGTCTAATTAAAAGACAAAACACGGAGATCCTTGCCATTACTAAAACCATATTTCAACAGTATTCTTTTAAATTAAAATTTCAATTTTTCCACACCTCAGAAGGTTAGCAGGGAGATTTTGTAAAGTTTTTTTAACCTGAGTGGAGATGCACCAATTTTACATTTAGCAATTCTGTCTGAAACGTTGGGTTCTGCATGGCTTTGTAGATACTGAATAGCAAAACTTTAGTACGTACACTAGTCATAAATGTTAGCAGAACTATACCTGACTTCCCAGCATCAGGTGTTCTCAGAAAAGAAGCAACCTTGATCCAAGACTTTGAGAAATGCCTAACTGCACCAAAAATTGGAGATACATGAAGTATAACCTAGTACAAGTGAACAACATTAAAGGATGCTCTGTTAATCTACATACTTGTTTTAACATAGGGACACTAAAAGTAATGCAGATCACTTGGCCTACACAACCAGTTAAAAAGTTTGTAATAACTTTGGCATAAGTTTCTTTCTTTCATTTTTCTCTGTCTTTATATATTGGTGAATGTGTAAATAATTTATTTTTTTTTTAACAATAAAGCCAATCCTTCTGTTACTTCACAGTATAGGAAGCACTTCTACAAGAAGTGCAAAGTGCCAGTACATCTACTGAAAGTAGCTACAGCTGCTTTGGTAGGAGAATGTCGGCACATGAGCAGCACACCTGTTCATCACCCCTGTGATTAAACTGGGTTGGACTCAACCAACGAAATTGTCTCATGTGAAGGCAACGCAGATGCACACACCTTCCACCCTTTTGGAACAAGAAGTGTCCACACCTGTTAGCTGCCCTGAGAAAACTGCCACTATCACCACATGAATCAGCTACACAAATAGCTCCTTATGCTTCAGTCACTCGGAACCCCTTCAGCAGTTTTCATGCCCCAAATACTCCAGAGCAGCCTGCTTTCCCACTGCCCTCTGCTTGTCCTCCTCTGTTTGCTCCTTCCTGACACCAGTCTGATTTGCAGCAAGGACTCTCCAGAAAGGAGCACAGTGACACCCAACACATGGAGGGAAGCCCAGTAACACGAGAGTCCAACATGTTTCATTCTGAGGAAGTAGAGAGTGCTCAGTTTCTCCTATCTAAACATTGTACATTGCAGAAAATATGCTTGTTGGAATTTTCATTTCCTGAGTGAATGCGCACTCCTTCTCTAAATGCAGTGGCTTTCAACAGACCACTAGTGATCACTTCATCAGGAAATGACATCTAGCTCAAATAATTGAAGAGCGAGTATGACAGGGTCACAGACGA